AGTTCGACTGCATCCGAGTTGGTGGAGAACCCGATGTTGACGTGTTGTGTGACATTTCGACGTTCACCTGTGCGTTACATCGTTTAACAAGTCTAAATATCCTGAAGTACACAAAAGACGTTACTACAAAGTTGGTAACTATTATCAACGATATAACTCCCGTCTCTTGATTGCTGTTTATACCGAATAAAAAGCGCACGACCAGTAATACTGTAATCGATACACACCACGAAGTGACAGCCAGTGCGATAACTCGTTTGGTATTGACCTTTTCAATGTAACGATATGGATAAAACACCGCCATATATCTTTCCAGTGAAATCAATATAAGCGTTAGGAACGACATACATATGCATATTACCCCTAAAAACGAATAGATAAGTAGCTGGACGCATGGGAAGTCGTGTGGTATTGCAGCGAGCTTGCTTGCTTGATATACAACGTAGCAAGGTTGAACGAATAATCCCACAAGCAAATCTGTGAAAGCTAAACACAATATCGATGTGTTTGCTACAGTTCTAAGGTCCGTTTTCCTAAGTACAGCCGCGAAGACCAAGAGGTTTCCAGTGACTGTGATAGGACAAAGTAGACCATTGATGATACACAAGAGAATTGACACCACTCGAAACATCACAGAAGGAGTAAAGGGCACCATTTTAAGACCCAATGATACAGTGTGTTCACAAACAAACTTGTCGGATTGTTCAGTGCCATTACTTGAAAGAAATCCTGATTTCATTTTGAGTTCGTGTATTCGCAAGGAAAACGCCTCGGTGTTAAAAGACGAAACTATCATGTACTTGATACAGTCAGAGACGGTCAATGCGGAAGCCATTTATTTATGCAGCCGACACTGCTGAACTGCGTGTGACAGCTGTCAATCATTCAGCACCAAAAGTACACACTCGTCGGGGTCCTCGAACCAAGAGCGCTCATTCATCCGGTGATTTAATCGACTCAACTATTTACTTTGGGATAAAAACCGGACAGATGCGACATAGTAAGTAAACAAGAAGAAAGAAACGTACGCCTGCTAAAATATTATTTCAGCTTGCTTTGTCTTGGCAGATTTTGCGTCAACAGAAAAAGATGCGCTAAGAGCTATACCAGCCCTTCTAAGGCTCATACAGAAATTTTAATTACTTTTCTTTCGTTTTTCAAAAATAATCGCCGGTTAATTTAATTATCAATAACAATGTACAACATTTTGGTTTGATATTCGCCAGAATGGGGTATGCTAATCCATCTTATCCGCAGCTAATAATTAAAATCAAACTTGTCGGATTGTTCAGTGCCATTACTTGAAAGAAATCCTGATTTCATGTTGAGTTCGTGTATTCGCAAGGAAAACGCCTCGGTATTAAAAAAATGCGGACGTATTAAAACGACCAAAGCGAAAATAAGACGGGCGTAACTTGGGAAAGGGGGAGGTGGCGGCGAGAAAAATGCCCTGTCTCTCCCCAGCCCCCGCGCGTTTTTCGCATTTCTTTTTACTGAACGACTTTTCACCACTATCTCGGAGCCTGGAACAGGCTATGCTGAACGGAGGCGGTCCATGCGGAACCATTTGTTTAACAAAATGCAGTTGACACTGCTAAACTGTATGTGACAGCCGTCAATCATTCAGTACTGAAACACTCATTTCAGTTCTCGAACCAAAGAGCGCTGTTTCATCCGGTGATTGATGAATCGAATCGACTTAAGTGTATTTACTTTTGGATAAAAACCAGACAGGTGGGGCATAGCAAGTAAACAAGAACAAACAACAGGGGCGGCTGTACACAGGCTACGGGATGTACAGAAATTTTAATTACTTTTTCGTTTTTCAGAAATGATCGCCGGTAATCAATAAACTTTCTATAAAGAATGTTTCACTTTTTTGTTTGATATTCGGCAGAATGGGGTGGTTTTAATGCTCATCCCATCTTATTCGCAGCTAATAATAATTACAATGTGCTCCACGCCGACTGATCTAGATCTAAATCAAACTGAAAATGTTAAAGGTACAACCAAAATAGAAATAGAGACAATTTATGATCTCTATTTTCAGTCTGGTACACCTATCTCTTTTTAAAAAATACTGTATCGACTAGCTTGATGAAAAAATCTTTTCCGCCTACAAATCTGCCATCGTTGTTCTTCTTGAGCCTGAAAGTCGCTTCATGTTTGTTTGACATACGATATATGACATAAAGTGTACAGAGTTTTAACTTAGAAAAGTTGTAAATATTGAAATTTCAAAGATCTTAGTGAACCTGGTAAAGTAATTTCCTGTAAATCTCGTCCGGTGGTTCACAGGCAGCCCAAGCTCATTACATGAACGCCGACGTGACTCTTGCTTGCGAGCGGTGTTGTGTTACAAACGGTTATTTACAAAGGCTTGTATGGGATGTAAAAGGTTTTTTTTAAAAGAGAGAAACAATGTTATGTTGTTAAATAAAATCGACTTACCTTATTGCCTTGTTGTATTTTTTGTTGTTTACCCGCGTCTCTGACCGTTTTGAAGCGTTTTCGGCGAGTTAGCGCTATTTTGGTGTTCCACTGCGCACGCCAAAATAGCGCTAACTCGCCGAAAACGCTTAAAAACGGCCTGAGACGCGGGTAAACAACAAAGAATACAAAAAGGCAAGAAGGTAAGTCGAAACGTCCCCAGCGGCGAAGAGCGAGGAGAAACGGATGTTTTCGCAGGCTAAGTACAAAATTAAATGACTTGAAGTTGAATGTGTGATTAATGTTTAACGTGACCCGTGACTACAATTAAACCAGTCACGCGAAACTCCATGCGGTCCATATTCAATCATGTACTACTACATACGCTGGCCATACACGTTTCTTCGTACACTAATCTGGTACTTCCTTCAATTTCCTCGGTCCCTCATTCAACCCGAGGAAGTTATTGGTAGGTCAGAGAACCCATTGAGCTTGCAGCGGCTGAAGTATCATGTTTTCAAGGACCTTTTAGCTCTTCAGCACGAAGCAAAACTCGGCAACAAAGCTCCAAACTGCGAAGTTAAAAGTTTGGAGGGCGCTTCTTGTAATCTGTTGGACTTCATGAAGGCTGGTCGACCTCTAGTTCTGAATTTTGGTAGTTGCACTTGAGATCTTTTCATTGAAGACTTGCAAGACTTCAAGGAGATCGTGAAGGATTTTGATGACGTGGCGGATTTCCTGATCGTTTACATGGAGGAGGCGCATCCTATTGAAGGTTGGAGAATAAGGGTAAGATCCTTTGATAGTTTGAGTCTGTATAGAAATGGTCTTAACACAAAGGGTTTGTTCAAGGTGAGTGCTCGTCTTTTCCTTCTTCTCTGCGAACTGTGGTAACCTCCCGGCGTTGAACCTTTCCTGAGTTAAAGTTGTTCAAATTCCTCCGGGACGGGGGGAGCCCGGGGGGGGGGGGTACTCCCATACATTACCTATACGGGTATGTGCCGCCCAACGGGGTCGTGATTTTAAAGCTCCTGGTTTAGAAAGGGGTATCCATTTCAGAGGCGTTTTCTAGAACGGGGTATAATATTTCGAACGCATGAAAGCTCCAGTTTTGTAAGCAGCCATTTGAAATTATTCAAGGACAAATTGCTTTTAAAAATACGGCTCAATGCGTTACTGAAGCAAACTGTTATACTCTTGTTGCACCCTAGAATGGAGTATCAAAAATTGGCCCATTTCTAGAACGGGGTATCAGTTTTAGGGCGAATTCTAGAACGGGGTATAAAAAATTGGCCCATTTCTAGGATGGGGTATCAATTTTAGGGGAATTTTTTTTTAGAACGGGGTGCCAATCTGGAGTCCCGGGCGGCACATACCCACCCAAAAAATACCCAAGTGCCCCCCCCCCCCCCAGGGGGGGAGTCCCATATAAAAGTGACAGGGATGCTTGTCGTATCGCTTAGGTGTTTAAATTGCAGATTTGGTCTCACTTAAGGCTGGTTTTCTGTAGCAACGGAGTTGGAGTAGGAGTCGTAATCAGAAGCGTAGAGCTTATATGATCTAATGAAAACCAGATTGTCGGAGTCAGGAGCAAAAGCAGAATAACTTAGAAACAATCACAGAGTGTGGGAATGTGCGTCGTGATTGGTTTATCCATCTGCTTCTGCTTCCGACTCCGACAATCTGGTTTTCACTAGATCATAAGTGGAATGTAAGCGACAGAGTTATAATTGGAGTCGGGAGAACAAATGGAAACGTTCTGATTCTTCTGACGTGTTTTGACTCCGATTCCGTAATGCTTTTGACTCCATGCACTCAGGACTCCGATTTTTGATTTTCACTAGGTCATTTTGCTCTTATGACTCCGTTTGCAACTCTGACTCTGACTCCGACTCCGTCACTAGTGAAAATGAGCCTTTAGGGTCTTTGGGATGGAAAGTCAGTACACTTGCCCTTTCAGGAACTGCTTAGAGCTGTGCATAAAGAACTCTCCTTGGGATTTTTATGCACATGCCAAAAATGGTAATGAATGCTACAAATATTCTTGAGAAGAAAGGTATCTTTGATAGGGATACATTGCACAGGTTTTTAGGCCCTTTTTGTCTCCTTCAATGTGATGATGAAGTTCTTGAAATGAAAAAAACTTTTTTAAAAATGCCCCACCCCACCCACATAATGTCATATTACTCCACCTAATAACAATGACTGTTGACAATTTCTTGTCCCCACAGGGCTCATCAACAAGTCAAATACTAGGGGGTGTTTGTTTCATAGACTCCTGTTGGAAGTTTCTGTCTTGCAAAGCTGGGTGGTAATACCGATACATCATACCCGGCCCAGCTTTGTTTGTTTAATTGTTTGTTAGTTTATGGTGACATGTCAGTGCAAAATGGCAACCAAACTGGAAAAACTGAAAACCATACTGGCTACCAGTCCAAAAACCCACTTATATCAAGTTTAGGAAAAACTGTAGAGGACAACAAGTACAATTTGTAGCAAAACTGAGTTTAAGCCAACCTTGATTGGAAAGTGCCAAAACGTTGTCAAATAATTTACTTCATGCACATTTGCATTAAATTTCTTTTTGTTACTTATTCTTCATAAGGATAATTATGAAATCAAGGAGCACAGAAGCATGGAGGATCGTTTACAGGCTGCCCAGATGTTAGCATCGCTAGACCCCTTGGTACCTATTGTTGTTGATCCTCTTGATAATCAAGCTCTTACTGCATATGCGTCCTTTCCTGAGAGGCTTTATATTGTACAAGATGGTAGAATAGCATATGAGGGACGTGTTGGACCTGTGGGGTATGATCTCAAGGAGCTTCGACATTGGTTAAATGGTTGGAAAGGACAGCTAAATGTCAGTCCATAGTCATCTAATTGTAACAATGCAGGTCAAAATGTCAGTGAAGTAATTTGACCATGCCTTCTACATACATTAGTATTGTAAACTGCTGCTTGTAAGCCCCCATGGGCTTATATACATGTATCGTTTTAACGGGTCTTAGGAGGGCTTATAAACACAGGGGCTTTAATATCCGAGGGGGCTTATAACTTGAATAGAAAAAGTACTTCAAGACAAGCTATAGCCGTGCTGATCAAAATATGGTTTGCATTTAACTTTTATAATTTACTGGTTTTTAATTAAGCTTCAAAGTGTTCATAATAGATGGTAGATAGGTCTATAACTGAGGTGGCTTATAAGTGGAGGGTGCTTCTAAGCAGCAGTTTATGGTATTTCCCTACCCCTGGGCCGGTGTACTCCCATAAGTAAACTGTGAAAGCTCAAGATGGAATCCATCAGGAAATCGAGTAATTTTGATTTTCAGTGGACGAAAACCTTGTACCAGAATAATTTAAACAATATTGGTGGTGGAGTACATTGTGTCACTGATGTTGGGGGATGTTTTTAAGGAAGTTTAGTATAGGATAGGGTTTAAGGAAATCAAAGAGTTAATAGTCTTGAGTATAAAATTAATTTCTTGAAACTCCACAGTAGAAAGGGAACCAAAAGTTAAATAGGGGGCAGGTCGAGTATGAATTTTTAGTATCTAGTTTGAAAAGTACAGTGAGTGCACTGTCAGTTTAAGTTGCTGAGTCTTATCTTACATCCACCAGGCAATGAACCCGATAAAGCTTATGTTCTACATACACCTAACAGTGGTGGAGGGGCCTTCCCCCCCCCCTTATTCTTGGACCAAACTGAGGCCCAAAGGGCCGAAAAATATTTTGGGGGGGGACTGCCTCCCCCCCTCATCTCAAGGTCTGGATCCAGCACTGCCTAAGCATGGAAAGGTGACGTAGAAAGCCAAAAGCGCCCTACGATATCTAAAATTACATGCAGCGTCTAACTTTCCCCTTCCTTGGTTCCATTTGTGAGTACAGTACTGTTGATCCTCCATTTGGTGGCCACCCTTGGGTTAACAGGCAAGTGGCGGATTTATAATATTGTCCCACATGCTGCATCTAAAAGCCGCAATTGATGTGCA